TGCCTAACGTAGCCCTGAGGGCTGCGGCCCTCGCAGCTCGGACTGTCCCATTCGCATTGCTTATTCAGTTTTATAGCCTTCCGAGGATTAAGGGAGCTCAGCGCACAGCAAACTTCGTAGGCGGCAGAGGGGGAATGGATGCTGTTGCGCCAGTTGCGATGCTTATGCTAAATGCCTGAAAACCGTATTACGCTGCCTGCTGCTGCCGCTGCTTAGGAAGGAGAACGCGGCCTTCAAGGCCCGTGTGTTGGTCTGCGATGGGTCTGTTGAGCTTCTGGACGCCTGCGGCTTCAAAGATCAAGGTGAGGCTAAAGGAGTGTTGTTGGGCCTAAATGAGGCTCGGGCGTTTGTCCGCTATGCGGGTCTGGATGGTCTGCTGGCGCACGACTTTCTGAGAGAGAGTCGCATGCTCCGCTGCGATTCTGCTCTTCGGTGCATGTGCGGGGTCTCTACGGCGTTTACGATGGAGGGGGAAGAAGGGTACATGGTGAAGTGTACAGGAAGAGGGGCCTGTATGCATTTTGTGCATGCAGGCGACGCCCTAGCCATCCAGGGACAGCCAGACGGCTTCATCTTGGCCCAGGCAATCAAATTCCTCGATCTGCTTATTGGACAACTGAGGGGGTGACCGGCGTACAGCTAGCAATGGCTGGCTACCGCCGGTCCAGTTCGGCTACAGCTAGCTTGACCGAGCTGCACGAGCTTCAGCGCCACAGCTAGCCGTAGCCAGCAGCAATTAGCTGGCTACAACTGGCAACTAGAGAATCGCGGGAGGACAGCCGTGAACGACGGCACTCACAACGCAGCCTGTCAGACACTGTATTTGTTGCCAGGTCCCGCACTCCCCATCTTTGTTTTTGGAGGGGAGGGAAACTGCGCGGGTTTGGACTTGTCCATAGTCGAGCTTTGCATAGTGCGAGCTGGGCCTGGGCCCCGTATGAAGAGGGAAAGGTCCTTGATACCATGGTCTGAGGTTAAGGGTTGGGCTTCCCTTTGTTTCAGCGCCCCAATCCCTGCAGGTCCACTGCACCGTGTCTCTATAGAGTGTTCNCGCCGGTCGGGTCATGTGCTGTGACATGACACCGCTACGTGCGTGCCCTTGCTGTTGTAGTTTGGCTCATTCGTTCGAGCATGCCGCCGTAGCTAGCGGGAGGGGAATGAAAGCTATCCAGCACAGCTGGAAAAAAAAATTCCTCCCAGTGCTCTGCGCCGAAGTTGGCAGCAGCACCTGTGAAGCTGCTGCCGACCTTGGTGCAGACCGGCGACAGGCTCTCCTCTTACTACTAGTGACTTTCCCATCCTGCGACATCCCCAGAGGACTAAGCCTATCCTACACCCATTGCAATGCAACAAATTTTTTTTAGCCCTCCATGCGCAGGTGCACCGTCCACGAGGAGCAGAAAAGTGCAGGCACCTCTGCGGTGTCTGTTTATGGAGGTTGTCTGTCACTCGCTCAAAATCGAATGTGTCTACTTGAAAGCCGCACCTAGCCCCATCGCGCCTAGCTGCGACAGGGCTAGGCGCGGCTCAGTAGAGCTGCTGACGTAGCAGGTCAGGGGTCTTTTGAAAGCAGTTTGGGTGGCGCAGCAGTGACGGGGATGGCCCGTATGTTGCGAAGAGATCCTCCAGTTCAATTAAAACACCGTCGTTATCCGGCGCCTCAGGTGCTTTAGGGGCTTCCTCTGCCCGTGCGGCTGCCGAAGGATCTTCCACTTTAGGACACCTCACAGCCGCGGAGGTTGTCGGGCTTCCCGGAGCCCCAGGGGCTGCAGCGCTAACTGCGGTGCGGGGTTTGTGTGCCGGACTGCTGCTACGCCCTACCCGCAGGGGAGAAGAAGAACGGGAGCCCCGTCTGGCTGCTGTTAAACTGGGTCGACGCCGCTTCGGGCCGCTGCGCCTGCCGGCCGAAATTGCAGTAGGACTTCCTCCTGGACCTTCGGGCTCCTCTTCTACTGACGGGTCCACTGGGGTGGTTCCGGGCAAGGTTGGTGACGCAGCTGGGGCGCTGCTGGAGCCCTTCCCTGCCCGCTGCGATTGCGCATGCGCTGCTGCGGCTTTGGTGCGGGCCGCCGCAGCCAGGACCATGCAGCTGAGTGCATGAGCGAGCTTGGCCTCGATGTGGGAGGCTACTTCTCTCAGGGCGTCTTCTTCAAACGTAATCAGCTCCTCAGGCGGCACACACTCCGCCGCGCCCCCCGAGTCCTCGAACAGAATGGGCAAGAACTGCTCCCCAGGGCTGCCCAAACAGTACTCCTGAACCTCTCCTGTCTCTTGCGGCTGTGCCCAGCCCGAATCCCCCCCCGAATGCTCACCCGTCTGAGGCGTTTTCGGTGACACCGCAGCCATCGGCGCGTGCGCTGCGTACAGCGGAGGTGAAAGCGTCAAAAAACGCAACCTGACAGCACATGCGATGGCACACAAGATGCAGTCCTAGTCCGCTGAGGATCTCCACTTGGATCTACTTCCCAAGTGGGTTTCCCCCCAGGCGCTCCTTCGATACGGCGGTCCCCTTGCAGGCAGCCTCTCAGCTGTGGAGCTCCGCAGCGAGTGTCTCCTGTCTGTAATGCTTAGACGAAGCGATAGTGCTGCTCGTGGCCTCCAGTGTATGGTACATCCTTCACCGGTCGTAAGACCAGCGTGTGGGTGGCGCACTAAAGACCACTTAGCCATAGATACGCATGCAGGCGGAAGTAATCGCCTTCAGTACGAACTCGTGACGATTGTCACTGGGGCAGAGACTGACCACAAATTAACAGGGTTCACGATGCAATTCGCGTGGCGGGGGGGTGGCTGCGCCTGAACTTCTCCCTTCCGATTTCTCTGCAGTTTAAACCACAAGTAGGAAAATGGAGCATCGGGAGAAAGTAAATGACAGACAAACACGGATGGAGGCCAAAGGAAAAACAACAGACAGACCGAAAACCTGCATGCCAAATGCGGTCCATTTAGCCTTCTGGCAAACAGGCAAAACGCACCAGCCGCCGAGCGAGAGCCTGCATGCAAATGTAAAGCTGGAAACGGGACCACAAGCATACAGACAATCAAAAAGAAGTACCAAATCGATTATGCGAGGAAAACGAGGCTGCCAAAGATGTGCCTGCATCTCCTGTTCGTCCAGAGCCAACATGTGCAAAACATTCCGCCGATCAGCCTGCAGCCGAAGAGCCCCCAAATAATCCTATGAAGACCAGGACAAAATCACAACATCTAATCGACGCATATGTGTAATCTGGCTCAGGCCGCAATAAACGGTCACCCCACGCCTGTTCTGTGTTGTCACCCCTGCCCTCCGGAGCACTCNGGAGTAGAATGCAAATATGAAATGAGTCAAACGGGGAAGTATGTGCGTTTTAAAAGCGGGAGGGGGGAGTGGGCGGGGGTAAGGGGGAGCCGCACGCACGGCTCTGTCAATGAGGCCTTCAACAGTCTTGAACTGCTCCGTCAGCTTCTTTTTCTCGACAAGCTCCATGACTTCAGGAGGAGGCGAAAGCTGCAGCCAACAGGAGCTGCAGGCAGCGGCGCCCAGCCACCAGGAAGGGCTCATTTGCTCGCGGTACTCCGTGTGAAATGAATTGCTGCCTAACAGCCCCCCAAGGCTCAACAGTGGACGCGATACGGGAGTACTGACACGACGGGCTACAGAAGAACGCATTGACGGAGTTCCCGAGCTGCTGCGCCCCGTCGCACCGCCGCGAGCCCCAGGGCCGCTCGTGCTACTGCTTACTGTGCTACTACCTGCGCTGCCGCAACCTCGCCTCATCCCCACCCCTGCAAACACATACGGCAATAATAAGAATCAGACCGAGTCGGCTTCTCTAGACGATTCGCAAAAGGCTAAAACGGCAGTTGTCAACAAACAACNAGGGTGGGTGAGGTTGGTTCACGCTAAGTTACGTTAGAAAGGAAGAGGAGCACAAGTGGCTGCTTCTGCAACCGACGGTGCTGTACGCACCAGCTCGGCTGTCGGGCGAGAGTCCGCACTCGGGTATAGGGCGAGATTGGAGCGGCTTTGGCGGGGTCTTGGGCATAGGAGAAAAACCCATCATGCCCACTTGGGCAGAAGGCGCTCCGTCCGTGAGCTTCATTTTTGAGAGACTAGCATATCCGGCGCCAAGAGGCGGTTGAATGCGCCCCTATGTGCCCACGGAACGCCTACTGCGACATATGTTAGCCTAGTGATGAGAGTGCTGACACAAAAGCCTTGTGATATTTTGGTTTGCTGAGACCTTAGCACCTGTACGGGGAAGGAACGGGAACTCCCTTGCTGGGTCCGCCAATGGGCGGCTTCAGCGGACGGCTCACGACTGCCTCGCGGGTTTGTCTGCAGTTGCACAGCTGCTACACTAACTGCGAAAGGGTGAAATTAATAAAAAAGTAGCTGTTTAAAGAGAGGAAGTCCAGCCAAAACTACGAAGACTAACCTGAAATGAGGCCCAAGAATGGTCGGTCCTGCCCTCAGGGCGCCGCCAGCAGCCCCAGAAGCTGTGGCTGTGGCTTTCCATTGCCGATAGTTCGTACGCTGTAAGCCGAATAATTTTGTTTCCGCCAAAATATACTCCGGAACACCCTCATATTTCTTTCCATGAGCCGTTTTACGGGCGGTCTTGTTGCGCTAGGCCCTGCACGGGTACCCGCGGAGTCACCGGGTGTTAAGGCTTCAGATCTTCTGTCTTTATGACATGACTGTTCTCCGCATGCTTTTTGAAAAGGTATTAACACTGCAGCGCATCTTATTCCTCTGTTTTCCTGCAGCAAGAAGCCCCGCCGCCTGCTGCGCCCGCGCGACCTGCACAATTGACATGAGGATACACCCGAATACTGACCTGTAATGAGTGAGATATGGATTCTCCGAGTAGCTCACTGCAGCCGCTCCCCAGAGCCTCCTTCATATGCGAGAGCTGCTCCCGCCATGTAGTTGTTGTGCTGGACAGCAACGCGCATTTGTTGAAGACACCACTAAAAGATGGCAGTCAGCTGAAAAGGGAAGGCTCGTTCTCTGCAGGGGCAGAACATCCTCTGCAGCTGCAGTTACCCTGTCTGGATGAAGACAAATTCTATCAGGGCGAAGCTAGTGCAGCCCTTCCGCCAACTGACGATGCTGCCGCATGTGCTCCGTTGCAGCAGTCGTTGCACCAGGAACTGCAGCAGCAACTGCAGCCTCCTACGTCTTCTGTAAACGAAGGCAGCAGCTCCTTATCAGCCTCATGCGCCCCATCTCCCTTTGCTGAGCCAGCGGATCCCAATGGCCTTCCCGTGTCAGTAGAGAAGGGCGCAGCAACTGATGCAGGGATGATGTATCCTCTTTGTGCTTCTTGCTTAGACGCGAATATAGCTGAAGTCGAGCCATCAACTGCTCATGAGAAGCTTCTTATCCGAAAATATGAGAGGGCACTGAGAAGGCTGCAGCGTCGATCCCCTGCGAGAACCACGCCGCTGCAAGAGGAAGCGGTGGCAGAAGCTGCAACGGATGCCGCGGCATCGACTCTGGCGGAGTTGCGAAAGCTGGAGGAAGAGGAGAGGAAGTTGGAAGCGGAAATATCTTCAATTGAGGTGTTTACGACCCAAAAAGAAGTACAAAAGCGCGCAGTCATCGCGGAGCTGGCGGAGTTGCACATGTGGCATGTTGAATTTTGGTTGTTGTATACAAATCATTGGCTCCGCATGATGCGTCAGGAAGAGGTGAGCTAAGGAGCCTGTTTTATATTTTGTTTGCTGCTGCTGATGACAATGCAACTTGGACGATCTAGCTTTGCAATAGGGTCAAGCAACGCCAGACAGACATACTGCTGCACATATGCAAGGACAGTGGTACACGCAACTGCAACACTTCTCCTTCTGGCCTTATTTCTTATTATATCCAAATGTGAAGGCACGCAGTGTTCATTCTCTTACACTATAGATTTGTTGCTTTGCTTTCTACTGGCGTATCCGGTCCTTCAAAAGTCCGTGTATTGCACGTGTAAATATATTATTTTTGTTGCAAATATATTCTTGAAAGCTGGTGTGTGTGTGCGTACCGTGTCTCGCATCTGCATTTGACCAGCGAAAACGGGCGATGGAACGGCTGTTCGTGTACATTGGGTCNTACAAGTTTCTTCCGTCGATAAATAAGTGCAGAATCGGTGAGTTAGAACTGCGCATGCCGGCAAGAGCAAACAATCGTACACAATAGTTACTTCAAGCGGACGCAAGCCAAAGCTATTGCGGCTGGCCTAAAATTTGGCAACAGACGGGCAACCGCTTTTCCGCGAGCACAAGGCTGAAGAGGACATACGCCTTTGGGGCGAATGTAGAAATGCGAACGAAGCGGGCAAAGAAAGAGCAACTAGTGGCAGAGGGACAAGCGCACAACGAAAACATGATATGAAGTTACGGGAAACAAAAGCAGGAGCATGAGCAAAAATGCAGCCAGTATGTGCTTCGGCAACAAAATAGATAAAACCAAAATAAGGAGAAGAATTGGTGCTTCGCTGCATTCTTAGGCCGGATCTCCTCGCCTTCATGCCCATCTTGGGCCGAAGTGAACATGGGCTGGGGTTATTTGTGCATGCTCCTGGACGTCTTCTACCGCAAGTGTCAAGCGCACCCCTCCAACTATCGACTCGTGCCCAGAGGACAATTCTCTTACCTCATCAGGCAAGGACATGCACTGCTCATGTTCTGAGGTTCAGGTTTTAGGTTTTCGGGCGCACGTTTAGCTTGGGGTCCAGGGTTGGGATCTTGGATGCTGGCTAGATTACGACATCAGCCTCCACGAGTCCAAACTGCTCGAGCTCAGTTGAGAGTAAAGCGGAGGTGCAGTGCCACTTTGAGGCGCATACACGTGATTGCCTCAGTTGAAAGATGCGTTTTTGTCGCCGCATCCGGGCGCGCACACTCCTATTCCGATGCTTGAAGCGGTGTTCCGGTGGCTGCATTAGGTTGCACGCGTAGCTCATCGTGCCGGTTAAAGTGCATTTGATTGTGGTTTCTGTCGAGCAGAAAGAAAGATGGCGCCGTCCTTCCGTTGCATGGCGGCGGGGGGGAAGTTGGGCTGAGCCGGTTTTTTTACAGCAACAAGCGGTTTGACTCAGCCATGATGGCGTACCTAGAATGCGTTAAAGAGGTAACTCAGGCGCGTAGCCGTTAGATTTGCTGCGGCAGTCGCTGTCGCTGCTGTCGCAGCTCTTGCCACTACCGCCACTACTGTTGCGACTACTACTACTACTGTCTGAGTAAAAGTGAACTGGTCGGACTCATTGGCGTGTTTGTCTGTGCGCAATGCGCGTTGCAGCTCTTTGACTTGCTTGTCACCGCAGCGGAGGACCGGAGCAAGGAGAGAGCTATCAGCCGTTTGTTGCCCTTCCCCGAACTTCCTTATGAAATCGAGGGTCTGCTGCACCCAGGCGCTAATAGCTAAACGCTAAAACCATAAGCCCTAGGTTGTAGGAAAATACAGGCATTTGAGGGCCTGAAGACAGGGGTGCGTTTAGTTGTGTTGGACACTGTGGGCAGGCGACCGAGTGGGGGGCTTCAGCATTCGTTTACAGCTAAACCAGGACGAAAGGTGGACCAAGGCTCTCAAGCTGCTCCTCATCGACATGAAGTGGCTCCTCGAGTACATAGAACGTGAGTAGCCACAAACCCTTTAGACGCACACAAAGGCATACAGAGAGCGGGTTTGATTGTTAGACGAAGAAAGCCAAATATTGATGGGGAACGACAGGACGTCGTCACTGTCACAGCAAGGCGATGCTGTTCAACTCAACTTGGTCCTATGTCCTTAGGAATTTGTTTGGTGACCGGCGTGGCGCCGTGAAGGGCCAAAGGGACCGTTTGCTTGGAGTGCAGGACATTCCGTACGCCGGCTCCTGCGAAGAGGATTGTCCTTCCAACGCCTCTCTCGAGGCATCTGCTCAAACGTCAGCAGGCGAAGAAGACGTGAGTGGGTCTCGATGCTCGCACGCATCGGTGTCTGTGTGTGTGCATGCGTAAACACGATGCAGTTGATTTGTCGTTCACTGTGGGGTTGTGCATGTCGGTGTTGTGAGGCGCTGCGAAGGGAAGCTAAGGCTCCGTGCACCTTTTAGCGCTTGGCTTACGGCAGCCCCCGCAGTGTGGATCGAATAACGTAAACCGAAAGCTCTCAGCCACACTGGAAAAAGAGGGCTGAACGCTGGAGGAACCAAAGCTTATGCACCGGCGGCCGGCGCCGTCTGAACTCTCTGTCCTTCTACCAAGAGAACAAATTTGTAAATACCCGAATATGCAAGCGTATGTGCTGTCCAGTACTTCGTTTTCTGAACAAGTTAACCACATGTGCTGGCTGTTCCATTTCATTCCCGTGGCACCAGAAACAGATGGGAGAACACTCCCGGCGCGCCTTTTCAATAATGGTAGGGCACCTGCGGAGCACCTCGCGACTTTACCTGGGGATAAACTGCTGAGGCAGATTCAAATGCAATATGTGGTTTATGGGTGCTGCAACATAAAACGAGGCCCCCAGCGGGCTGTACGTCCCGCGAACCGGAGACAGGTAACTATGTCTCTGTCGTTACCATTGACCACAAAGCAAAAGAGGCGGCAGATCGCGCTGGGTTCAGAGGCTGTCAGCCACAACTCCCTGCAGCGGCAGTCGCTGCGCTGTACAATATGCAGAAGATTACCTCAGGCCTGAGGCCGCAACTTTGCGACTCATCCACTGGAATTCACCTTACACTTAAGCGCTCTACGTGTGCTCATCGTATCGACTATGCTGATTCATCGTGTTGTAAGAAACGTACAGACGTCCCTTTCCCTCAGCTGTGGGCAGTGCCGGAACAGCAGTCCCCTCCTCGTGGGGCCCCGCGTTTATTTAACAGCTGGCCCGTCGCGACGCCGCCAACAACTGCGCAGAAGAGGCCGGCGTTGAAGGTCATGCAAACCAGCATCATGCCCCAGTCAATCGCCACGGCTATGCACAAGAGCGCCCTGTAACGCAACGTGAACACGCGACAAATGGCGAAGTATACGCCAATAAACCAAGCCAGCGATGACCCATAAATCGCCTGCAACTGGCAACTGAAGAACACCGACATGTTAGAATGAGAGGTCCAATACTCGGTGTACGATTTACTGCGAATAGCGTGCAACGAATCGCAGTGAGGCACGAACGACATACGACCCGAAATTGCACTGCACGACAAACCACTAAACAACATCAATGCATGACCACACTCCTGCAATTTCGACATAAACAGCATGTCGAAAATTCCCCGACAAAATGTAAAGCTGCTTCATATTTGCTGTAACGGGGCTCTGAAGACTACAGCTCGCGAATTACCAAACTGCCAGAGGCTTCGCCTTCAAACAGCGGTGGCTTCCCTCGGTGGGGCCTGCAGCACAAACAAATGACCCGACTTCTGCATGCATTTGTTCTCCGTCGACGAGATCTTGAAGTAAGATGAGGCCGCGGGTAAGGAGGAACTGTACTCACTGCTGACAGAGACCCGGGTCCAGGACCCTGGGTGCAAGCTGTACAGCGACTGTAGACCACCACCTTGCAGAAGCGGCGGCGCTGCTGGCCACCTGTCACTCGCGGTTGTCATAACACTTGGTAAACCGTTCATCTCGTTAGAGCCTCCACTCGCCGTCTCCACAGAACCTTCAGAACAGACCTCGCGCACCGCCGGACGCGTAGGTGCCGCAGCGTGGGCATCCCCACGCTGCAACTCACAGCAAACTGCCTTGAGTTTGGCGCTGCACAGAAACCACTTGGGACCAAGCCATAAGCGCCTGATCCTAACGCTTCAATCTTAAGCAATTGAGGCAACAGACGAGGAACCGCTGACTGCGCATCANTTCACGCTTCAAACAGCCTGCATTGAGCCTAAAGGAAAGATCTATTGGATTTGGACGCCTATATATACACACTAGGTTCATTTCGCATGCGCGTTCACCACATACCTGACGAGACACAGGGCGAAGATGCAAACGCAAGAGAGGTAGAACTCGACGGCTGTCGATGTCTGCCACCACCTGCAGGAAACAGTTCAACAGATGTACTACTCAACAGGCAGAAGCAGATGCAGAAGCTTCAGATATTGTCATATGCACTAATTAAAGCACGCGCGAAGGCGAAGACACCCGGAACGCTGGAACAAAAAGAGGGATGTCTCACGGAAAAAGAATAATGGCATCATAGCCCCAGTAAAAAGTCATCTGCATCTCCATCTTTGTACTGCGGAGATGAAACCACCCCCTCTCCAAGAGAAAGTCGCACGAGCAGCACTCAACAACACCTTCTAAACTGCCCGCATAGAGCCGAGATCCCCATGTTGTACGCGGGGCTCTTTCGTCTGATCCACCAACAGAATCTCTCGATGAAAATAGATAATATGACGGCGATTAAAAAGAGAAAAAGGACTGGCCGTTTAAGCGACAGAGTCCGCGAAAGGAAGACAGCTCTGCCGTGAGAATGTACCCTGGTAGCGGGCGTTATTCGGGGGTGTTGGAGAAGGAGTAGAGTAGCAGAAGACGAACAAATTCATTAGAACCTTCTGATGCATCTGAAGTGAGGACAGAAATAAAAGATACGTATCATACGTTGCCTTGCCTGGCGCAAGGCGCGGGATGAGGCTATCCGCAGCAGTGAGCCGCTGTCCTTGCGACTGGGCCTCAGTCACGCGGCGTAGTGATAGTTACTGAGATAGGAAAGCGGTAATATGTCAACATACGCCTGAAATAAGGGTGATTTACGAAAGAGAGCAGCAGCGGGCCCCGTTGCACCATCGGCTTCGGAGTTGAGGATGTGGACTCTCAAAGAGCTGCACGAGGCTGCGCTGCGTATACATCCAAAAGGAAACCTAAATAATAATTTCTCAACTGCCACGAAGACTTCCTTTAGTGTAAGCTGTAATGTGTAGTGCACATATAGAGAAGACAGCTCCAACTGCTATTGCTCATTTCCTGCTGTTTGCATGTTTGCGTGCCGGCGGGAAATCGAAGCACGCGCGTTCCGGTGGCGTCTTCTGTGCATCTGCCCTTGTCTAATCAAGGGGGCTTTGTTCGCTTTTTAAATTCTACCGAATGCATGAACACAAGTTCCAAACACCGCATCCGTGCTCTTCCACTGGTCCACCGAACACATCACGAGCCCCACAGTCCGAGGCCGAGCCACCCAGCCGACTGGACACTTCTTACTTCCTTCTCCCTTCATTGTGCTCCAGGGTTACGAGCTCTTGTTTCTGTTTACTGCAAATTCGGCGCCTCCCTCCGCGGAGAAGCCGGGCCAGGGGGATTTAGGAGGCTGTGACGAACAGTCCTTGGCCCACCACAACGACAGCCAAACAATGGAGTAGGGCTGACTTGGCTCGAGGCCTACTCGAGGCTAAACGTTCGTGGGTCTAGCAGTTGCTTCTGTATAGAGACACTGAGGAGGCCTTATCTGTCGAGCTGCAGTAGCAACTGCTATACATAGAATGCAGCGGTTAGACGGCTTCCCTCGCAATGCATACGACGGCGGCACTGCGGGACGTGGCACTTGTCAAAGCGTTCCTTTGGGAGCTCAAGAGGCTGTGCCCGCCTCTGGGGACAGCGCTGAGTTGATGTGGACTGCTGCAGCTGCTGCCACACCAGGAGCGAAAGCTGCAACCGCAGATGCCGAGGTTGCGGAGGAGATGGACGCTGACGCGTACGACTGCGAGTGCATGGAGGACTCGAGTAGTGATATGAGCGACCCATTGATAGAGGAGGACGACGATTTTTCAGGGGATGTGATAAGTTCAGCCTTTGCTAACTGGTGTGCTCACGAGGCGGCCGCGGAACCAGGGGCTGATCCCCTCGCCTCCTTCTTTTCCCAGCTCGTTTCCTCTCATTCGGTGGGTACATCAAGCGCCTGATCCCGGCGTTCACGGTTTCTTAGAGAAATTGGTCTCAGGTTCTGCCTACAGTGCGCAGGGAAAGGGAGTTGCAGCCTGCTTGCCTGTAGCTGGAGTAGTTGTAGCCATATGCTCACAAGCACACAACATATATACGATTATGTGCATATTTGAGCATGTAAGTGCACTAGCGTGCTTGCTTGTGGTGCTGTTGCGCAATTTGCAGCTGACCGAGGGAGCATTTGGGGGTGTGGCAGAGGCTCCGTCTGACCCACCGAATGTGCAGCCGAGTCTCTCTGTGTGCACCTCCAACCCAAACCCCAGCCCAGATAAGGAATGCCCAAAAGTAGAGGCCTGTAAAGTCTCTGATGAAGTGGAAAATAAGGCGGAGGATGCCACACAGCCGCGGAAACTGCCCGGGGACGGATGCGACAGGGACTATAAGGGGGGCAGCGGCCCACGCCGAGTGCATACACCCAATCTGGGAGGAACAGTTGCTGATACTATCGAACCTGAGTTGCGAGAGTTTTTCATAGCCTCGCTAAAGCGTAAGTTGCTGCAGATAGTTCTTGTTTATCATTAACCGTGCGTGGGACCGGTTGCTGCTGCTGAATTTTCACTGGCCGTTGACAGTGGGCTCCCCTTCTGGTCTTTCTCGCAGCTTGTATATTGCAACACCCACCTTTGGTCTCCCTTGCAGCATAAGCAACCAGTAGTAGCAGGGACGGCAGCAGCATTAGTAGCAGTAATACCAGCACCGGCCGTAGCAGCCGGCGCAGCAGAAGCTCTGCTAGGTTGTGATTGAGGGTGGGTGTTTGTGCCTTGTTTAGAGACCGACTTTCCTCACATCCTGGGTAGTCTACGCGGGGCGATTTTGAGCAATCCCGAGATATTTGGATTTCATGAAGTAGAGGACTCCTCCGATGCAGAGGCAGCGGCTGGGAAGCCTCTCGGGCAGCCGCTTCCTGCTCGCGGTGGGGACTGTATGTCGGATGGGCAGGGGAAGCGCGCGGATGCGGAAGTGCAGGACCAGCAACAACAGGAACAGCGACAGTCGACGGCCTTCGCCGCTGAGCCGCAGGCAGATGGAGGAGGGGAGAAGAGGGCGGATGGCCTCGGTTTCTTGGAGAAGAGGGATGGGGCTGAGTGGCTGTTGCCGCCTGAAGTGTCAGTGTCCGGGGACTTCTGTAGAGTGAATCCGCGCGTGGCTGTTCGTTGGCTGGTGCAGACGCAGATGGAAGGTATGTTGCAGGGTGGGCAGCCGCAGCAGCAGCTGCAACAGCAACAACAGCAGCAACGTACTGTTGCAGAGAGGCTGCCTGCGCGATTTGAGGCAACGTCATGGCCCCAACTGGCGTGCTTGGTGCCACCCAAGGCGCTCTGCTGCAAAGTAGGAACTGTAGTAAACCCTGCACGAGAGGAGATGCAGTTGGCTGCAGCGCGGGTTGCCAAAGGCCTTACCAGTGAACAAACGCATGCCCTAGCGTACCTCCTACAGGCCTGGTATTTCTCAGGCTACTTCGCGGGCCAGTTGCAGACTACTGGCAGTGGCTGCTAGCTTCAGCTGTTCGCACGCAAGGGGGCAGGCGACAAAGGTAGCGCCGGCTGAACGGACGAAGGTGCACTTTTGCACTTTTACTTGCAAAAGGGAAAGTGGACGCCACCTTTCCGTGTTTGTCTCCGCCGTCGTCGCCTGTCCGTGCTGTGGGATTTCAGATGTTAAGCATTCGTTGCGATACGTTTGCGCTATTCATGCAGTTATCCACCGTTGTGTATCTGCGTATAGTGCAGAGATGCAGCTGGTGTTGTTCAGCAGTCTCCACGTTGCGTCCCTCAACAGTTTTCGACCCGCCAAGGCAATCGCGGAGAGCGCTGTCCCCCGTATGAGCCAGGCGGATTGTTTCTAGTTATTGTTTTGTGCATGGCCTCGCTTTAACATTTCCCCTTATGTGTTTGTTTTCTTTTCTAATCCTACAGAGTTAGAAGGTCTAGCCGGCAGTTGCTGCTACTTGAACTTAGATATCCTTGCGTACAGACAGTGTTGCCGGGCCTTTGGTTTAGGCTCTCGGGTTTACACAGCAATGGAGGGTTAATACGTGTAAAAGATGGAAGGCGGCGCCGGGCGCTGCACACCCTCCTTTAACTCTCCACACTGAACTGCAACACCCGCAGGGAAGGCTGCGCCGTCAAACCAACGACGAATGCATACTTCGATGTATGCACGCACACATACTGAAGCGTGGTCTGGTAGAGGCTGGCGACGTGTGGCTCTATGCATGCAGAGTGGCTAGTGAGAGCCACGCACGTTTTTAACAGTTTTCTGTGGGTTTGGAGCGCTCATCAAAGGTGGTCTTGAGTATGCCTGCAAGCTCATCGAAAGGGGTCTTGAGTATGCCTGCATCTAGAGTTCCAGCACATCCTACAACTAGCAGGAGGGGTGCCACAACCCATACCGTTCCGCCTCACCGCCTCACCGCCACCAGGATTGGGTGCCGCTGGTGCTGTTGTAGCCCACAATAGTCAACGCCTACGGGAAGCCTGCGAAGAGGGGGACAAAATCCTGGCTTTGGTGAGGCATGGGTTGTGGTAGTCCTCCGGCGTGCATACTTTGTTGCACCGAATGGCGGAGAGCGGAGAGGGGCAGGCACGAGCTGCTCACCCAACCCCAAAGCGGGGAGGCTTGCCTGTAGCAAATAGCTTTTTAGCGTTGACGATAGGCTCAAAGGCTTCCTAAATGTTTGCGAAATGCTCTGCCTTTTCGCCTTTCGAGTAATGGAGAGCGATCAGGGGATGCCGTCCGGCGGGTAGTTGACCTACATCTGTGTGACCATCCTGCATCAACCCCTGGTCCATCCCCCGAAGGCTCGCGCATTCATGTGCTCCGGTGGCAAGTTAGCAATGGGTACACCGAGGGAGCGGGAAGAGTTCCCGAGAGGGGCGAGAGACCAAAATATGGAACGGCAAGCAGAAAAGAGGGAATGTGCAAGGGACATCTACCAGTACTCCTTATTTTGGCTGTTGCTGCTGCAGACCTCTCCAATACTCCGTAAGACGCTCTGTGCCTGTGTTGGGAACTGCTGTCTAAGGTCAGCATCTCAGCCCCAGCAGAAGCCGATGCTTCGGCGGGGCATCAAGGCCGTCGTATAGATGCTTCTTACCCCGGCTACTGACAACTGCTAGGTTCCTGGCCACCCTGCCGTAAGGGTGAGGTTCGTTTCCCACACCTGCCCCAATTAATTATGCTGTGCTACCACCCGTAACGAGTGTCCTCCATCTTGTTTAGCGACGGTCGCAGGCTGCAATAGAGTCAAAATACTCACGATAAGAGTTCACAAAAAGCCACTAACTTCTCTCAAGTCCCCAGGCGGGCTTAGCGCAGCAGTTCAATAGCCTGGGGACAAGGAAGATGCTGCGGCCTGAAATGAGTTGCAACACAACTCGCCGTAACTAGTGATGCAGGGCAACCCCACATGCGTGTACCACCACGCCCCTTGTGCTGCGTGCACTGACGCCGTACAAAATTGTTGAGGACCTACTTCGCCCCCCATATCCATCCTTCTTGCAATCAAAGATACACCTACCACCTTCACACAGGCCATGTTACAGACCATGGTTCCGCGCCCGTTATTGGAACGCCCATGCAAGGCAACAACCACACCCGCAGGCATGCCTAAGCCTATTTCTGATGCACTCACTAACATTGTCTACAATTGCTAAACACGTACTTCGCCCTGAGTGGCCATCCTGAGTAAAGTAGAATGCATTTCCCTTCTCGACAGCGCATGGTAAACCACTGATGTGGAGTAGCACGGGAACACAGGGCTGGCGGTCACTCCTAGAGAAGTACAGCGGAGTGGAGCTGTTTGTACAGGAAAGTTTGTGAAACTGTTATTCTTGACGACAAAACTAAATAAAGAATACCCCCTCCAAGCAAACTACAGCAGGTACTGATGGACAACAGACTTCACGTGGGAGCGCAGTGTGCGTTAAGTTTGCGAAGCAGATGAAACCTTGCTTTATACTATTTCTTCTTCTAAAGTTGAAAAGTCAAACCCTTTACAGTAACGAAAGTGTAGATTGCAATTGGTGAGAATGCATGCACTGCGATTTGGGCTGGATGCCCAGGGGTGCGCCAGCAGCCCGAGCGATGAAGGCAGTCAAGTGAAATAGTTGAATATATATGGCAAGTGGTTTTGTTTCACGTTTCTCCTGCGTCTTTAGCAGGGAGCTACTGTGGCATTTTCGTCATGAAATGATCGAACAAACTTCTCAAGGTGGTGCGGAGAACCGAGCCGACTCTTTGACCAGCAGAAGGCGGTAACACGGTCTTGTTAAACCATGGCGAGCCATGCAGTATGTCACATATTATATACATCTTCTTGCCAATCGCTTTCAGCTGCAGGCGGGCGGAGCAGCACCGCAACCTGGAATGGCGGCAGCCCCAGCTGCAACAATAGCCGCAACTCTATAGCTACACCTACGGAGTGCTCGAAGTAGCATCTTTTGACTTTCGAATGGCACAGCGAGTCCTGCACAAGCCGCAGTATAGACATATCATCAGGGCACTTTCCCCCGTCACGTTCTACCGAGGCCTTCCGCATCCTACCACGGAGCACTTTCCGCGCTCCAGCCGACAGCATGCAGACCAAGAGCATGGAACGTGCATTTTTGAGTGTACTGCAAACTTTGCTGCTTCCATTGGCATTCATGCTGCCGATATTGCTGGGTGTGCATGCGTACATGCAGAGGAAACGCCTGATCCGTGACTTTCGCAAGCTGCAGAGCGACCCCCCCTTTGGCGTTAGCGGCGCCCCCGTGCAAAATGATATAATGCGTTGGCATGCCGTCATCTTCGGCCCAGAGGACACGCCTTGGGAAGGTGGTCAGCTCTGACCCACCCTCTGACGCACCGCATGCAGACGCAAACGAACAGATGAAGTTTTCCATCGTCCATTCAAACGATTGTTAATTTATATGCATGCATATTAGATAGGCCTACCGTGTGCTTACATATACGCGTGGCGTGGACATNATTGTTAATTTATATGCATGCATATTAGATAGGCCTACCGTGTGCTTACATATACGCGTGGCGTGGACATAGGCGAGCAGACATATATGCATAATTATATGCTTTTGCATGTGTACGTATTTCGCCGATTTTACACCTCAGGCACGTTTCAATTGGAGCTGAAGTTTACTAATGATTACCCCAATAAGCCGCCACACGTCCGATTCCTCTCGAGGCTCTTCCATCCAAACGGTGTGGAAACTTCCCTGAGCATAGCCGCTGGAGTCATAGACGCTAATTATGTGAACACGTGATATAGACACACTGTAAAGAAAGTTCTAGTGTAAAATACGTAAGGGTTGGACGGCATGAGAAACTGTGAAGGGAAGCTTCGCTTGTCGGAATGGGAAGAATGCGCCCAGCTGACTGCTGTCAGTTGCATAATTAGGTATGCATAAATATATCTGTGCGTATATGCTTAATTCGTTCGCTGTGTATATGCAGTGTACAATGACGGGAACATCTGCCTGGACATTCTACAATCGCAGTGGAGTCCCATATATGATATTNTGCAGTGTACAATGACGGGAACATCTGCCTGGACATTCTACAATCGCAGTGGAGTCCCATATATGATATTTCTGCTATTCTGACATCCATACAGGTAATGTTTACTTTGCTGTCGCTGCTGTAGCTGCTCGAACAGCTGCTGCGGCGACAGTCGCTGCATTTGCTTCCAAGCTGCGTCTTTGCTGCGGTTCTTTTTGCTAAGCTGCTGCTGCTTGTGCTGCAGCAGCAGGCACATTCTACTTCCCCCCATCGTCTTTATTACTTTCTGCCATCTTATATAGTTCAGTCTGCGTTATCCGGCGTTCACGCCCGGTAGTACGCTCTGCTTCTTCTCAACTTTTTTTGTTGAGACTTCTTTTGTCGGGCAGTGTCATGCTTGGTGCGGCTGCAGTCGTTGTTGAGCGATCCCAACCCCAGCAGCCCGGCAAATCAGGAAGCGGCGCGTTTGTATGCGGAGAATAGGCGGGAATACAATCGCCGGGTGCAGCAGTGCGCTACCGAGTCTTTGAAGACGGTGGGGGCGGCCGAGGCGGAGGCCCCTGGTACCGCTGCCAGTGGTGCAGCANTACCGAGTCTTTGAAGACGGTGGGGGCGGCCGAGGCGGAGGCCCCTGGTACCGCTGCCAGTGGTGCAGCATATCACCCGTCTGATGCCCCCAACAGCGCGTCGTCCGCCCCGGCAGCCGTCTCTGACGGGGTCGGGGTGGGGGACAGGGTCGCTCCAGCGGCAGATGAGCAGCAACAGCAGACTGACAGCGGTCAGCAGCATGGTATGGGAGACGGGAGGCAGGGTGGAGGCGCAGCTCCGTAGGTGCGGTCTCTAGTGAGCAACTCCCCTCATGTGTGTTCAGTAGTTAAGAGGTTGGGCTGTCGTGTGCTGGTAGATGCAAAACAACATTCGGTCTCCAGCCTGTGAGGAGCACAGTGGTCAGCGGGCCGCCTGCAGCCCCCACTGAACTACAGTTGCTCCCAGCCAGCTGGGGTCTGGCATCAGCGCCACAAACAGCAGCAGCAAAAACAGCAGGTGCCATAGCTTTGGCTACTGGAGGAGTCGGAGTTTTTCTTGGTTTCCGGGTGTGCAAGCTCAAACGGCTAGGGCCCGTCCCTCCCGCAGTTTGAGGGGCACGAGGAGTCAAGCAGGTCTCCATGGGACCCCCAGGGGCCTCCCAAAGAAGAGGAGGGAGAGGGAGGGAGGAGGGGGGTCCCTGGCGAGGCCGTTCCGGTTTTGACTGCTCTGGGTACGCTGACACGGCAGCTTCTTCCCCCAGGGCGCGGCCCGAAGTCCTAAATAAACCCTTC